TCCAACCTGCAGCCCTTTGTTGCATGTCATCATCAGCGTCCCTATCAAATAAAGGCAATAAAAAGGCCAAAAAAATAACTTAAATTTTTTTTTTTTTTTTAAATAAATCCACCCCACCTGGAGAAAAAAAATAAAAAATAAAAATCAGAGCCATATGCTGCCAACTACCAACAATGAAAAACTAGCCCTTTTGATGTGGGGGTATGGGCAAATGTGTGAACACATCATGAGCTTCGTGTTTGCCAGATGTGGTGTAGACTCACAGAGAAATCTCCGCTGTTTGTTTCTCCTTACATCTCTTGCCTCTGAAGCAGAGTGTAGCTGAGGCCAGACCATCCTCTCATTCCGCTGTAAGACATGTCGCTTTCCACAGGTGCTTCTAAAGCCTGGGGCACTCTGGAGGGTGGTCATTGAGAAGACAAGTGGTGACGAGACGTGAACATGGTCTCAGCAAGCCTCACACCGTGGATAGAAAGCCCTCTCAGTCACTAGGATTTTATGGCTAACTGCACTGGAAGTGCGTTCCCACAAGTACATGCCACAGTGGTACATATTCCACCATAGACTGCCAAAGTGAAACCAGAGCTTCTAGGTTCCGAAAAAGAGGAAAAGAAAACCTCACTGAAATTCACATTTATAAAAACCTACAAAAATCCAGCCCTATAACCGTACTACCTATAAGTCCTATAGTTCACTACATTTGTCCAGACAAGGATTGTAAGCAACATAAACAACACTGATTTAATAAGACAGATGAAAGATTGAGAGATTGTATGAAGTTATACAAACTAGTGGGGATGTTCTTTCTATTAGCATAGCAACATATAACCAGTTCCAGCGAGACCTTAGAATGCTCCCTGCAACATTTTACAACAGTTAACCGTCAGCAACATTGTCAGAAAACGCAGAGTTACAGTACAACAGGTCAAAGGCCTTCAATCATTCTAAACTGGGTACTTCACTTTCACCCAAATAGTGCATGAAGTTCTCATCTGAGAGCTCGAGTTATGAAACTGTAATAACAGCATACCATGGTCTGTTTGTCTGTTTGTCTATGTGTGTATTTAGGTCTCTTTCAGGTCGTATAGTGGGGGGTGTGTGGTGGTTTTTTACTCTGATCATCATCTCGTCATACACTGCCAACCTAGCTGCCTTCCTGACAGTGGAGAGGATGGTTTCTCCCATTGAGAGTGCTGAAGACCTGGCTAAACAGACAGAAATAGCATATGGAACCCTGGACTCTGGATCCACCAAGGAGTTCTTCAGGGTAAGATCTCGATCAAGTTTTTTTTTTGGCCCCATATCCAAGTCATTTAATATTGATTATCTACCAATATCAAGTCCCAAGCAGATATTTGTATTTTCCTATATAATGCAGGTGTACAGTTCACACTTCAAGTACATTAAAGTTATTAAAATAAATCTTGGTAGCTCCCCTGGTAGAGCTGGTGAACCAAAACCAAGTCCTTGCTGCAGCGGCCATGGATTCAAATCCATGACCTGTGGCCTTTGCCTCTTGTCTCTGACTGTCATTACTATATATTATTGTTATTGTTAAAGAATGAAACACAATAAACATACTTGAGAAGAAATAGCTCTACATTGCATTAAAAAAAAAGACTTAATTTGAGCTGTTCCTTCATATATTTTTTTCCTTTATGAAATAAAGTATAAAAGATTCCAATTAGAAGCTCACTGAGAAGGCTTAATAACACTGGTTGGTAAAAGCAAGTATATTAGGGCCCTTATGATTATGTAGTATTCGTTTTGTGCACTTTCAAATTCATTGCCAGTCTGTTGTATCTGTATCTGTATCTGATGTTTATTCACAATGTAACAGTTTCACACTATTCCAATGATCAGCAGTTGGTGATGGTAACATGCCGAGGAAGCCACCAGGAATTATAAACATGCTTCAGTGGTACACAGTTGTTTACAATAAAACTCCACAGGATACCTTGAAGTACCCTGTCCTTAGGGTGTTACAATGTACATAAAGGTACAGGTAAACCCAAATTGTACAGATTAAGTTGTAGTATCTTTAATTTTCTGTCTTCCTTTTTAGCGCTCTAAAATCGCCTTGTTTGACAAGATGTGGCAGTACATGAAATCAGCAGAACCTTCCGTCTTTGTCAAGAAAACATCGGAGGGGGTCCTGCGTGTCAGGAAGTCCAAAGGGAAGTATGCCTACCTGCTGGAGTCCACCATGAACGAGTACATCGAGCAGAGGAAACCTTGTGACACCATGAAAGTGGGAGGAAACCTGGACTCCAAAGGCTATGGCATCGCAACACCCAAAGGATCCCCATTAAGGTGGGTGGATCAGTATAACAATGCTAGCCAACCTGCACTGCCATGTACCATTCACACTACTAACCTGCTGCCTAGCATACTGTTCCTCTCCCCATTCACACAGTTAATTTCTCCACACCTTTAAACTTGCGCTGAGTGGATTCAGAAACTTCCTCCCTTAGTGCACTGAAGTCTTAACAGTAATGATCAGAATACACTGGCTGACTACCTGCTATAGCAGTCAGGTGGTTTTTAGCCAGCGTGTGAGCTGTGGCTGTGCTCAAGAAAATAAACCACCATGGGGAGCAATGTAGTCTGGTCCCACGACTTAGTACTCAGTACTGAGTGTTGCAGTATGCGAGTGTGATGAATGGGGCATGGCGGCTTACTCGTTGTTATAATAATCCACCTACCCTGATGACATCATCTCAGTGGTTTGTATTTTGACCATGGTTACCACCTCTGACCAATGTCTAGTGGTGGTTGCTGTGACATTTTTGGAGGGCCATTAAAGTTTGAGATTTCAGGTCTTAAAGAAATGCTTTATCACAAAAAATTTATTGGGTATACACTTTGGATAATGTAGTCCTCTTCTTTGTATTATTAAATGTGATAACTTGATACAATGATCAATGTGAAATATTCTCAGCCATATGCTGTTTTATTTATTGTCTTTATAATTTAAAACTGATTTAATGTTCTTTCTAATGAGGAGAAATTGGTTGCAGGTTTTTAACAATTATGATGAGCTGGCTCTTTAAGACCTGGATCAAAGGACTGTTGTTTATGTGTTTATGACCTAAACATTTGTTTGTGTGTGTGTGTG